ATTCAAAGGCCTTTTGGTTACTTTGAACCCCCACTCACCTCAAGCGCTCAAACAATGATTCCAAAAGATGAAAAAGTTTATAAAAGAGCGAATCTTTCTTTCATTCTAACTCCCATGCACAAAGTATTCATGAAGAACATTTGATACACTTTAATAAACTTTAACGTCTAATGATGAAAATATTTTGCAGGTCTCCTTGAACAACTTAAGCGTAAGAATTTTAGTCTATTCACATAAAAGAACATGACATATTTTCATTAAATCAAGAGTTGTTTATTGCGCTTAAACAATCCCAATTTTTATGAAAATAACAAACAAGAACACTAAGACATAAACAATCACTTTATAACGAATCTTAAGGAAAACGTTCAACTTATGTGGCTAAGAAGTTCATTTACCTTAAAATTTTACAAAACACAAGTCACAAAAAAGATTCACGTATGAATTCGAGAATCACTTAACTAAAATATGTAGCTAAATTAGCTTCAATGATAACCGAATTCGACATACCAACCTACTTATGAAATCAAATTTATAATTCAACCAATTTAACATCAATTTGCGCAATAATTGGAGAAAACTAGTACGAATCAATTCTCAATTCATAAGGGTTTTAATATAACATGGAAAAACCCATAAAAGAAAACCAACCATTTTTGGAATTTTTGAAATTCACACAAGTAAAAAAGTGTAAATTTGAATTGAAACAACACTTTTACAAAGAAATTGGAGAAGGAAAAAATGACAATATAGAGTTACCAATTGATGAAGAAGAAGATGAAATTGAAGAAATTGGAGCTTGAAGAAGACTGTCCACCCTCGGCCACAGCCGTCGCCGGAGCTACTGCCGCCGCTGCCATCGTCGAACGCCGGCCACCATAGCAGCGGCCAAGCCGCTGCTTTATTCCCGTCGATGTTCCCCCCCTTCAATCTGATGATTCTGTGCTCAATTTATAGGCAAAGCTTTTCTTCCCGTTGGCAATTGATTGTCACAAAATTAATGGAGCCGAACGTTGGAGCGTTGAAGAAACCAGGCGCTGCTTCTACGGGAAGAAGAAGTCTCTGCGGTGACTTCTCTTTTTTTTCCTTTGGTGCGTTGAATGAAATGAGGAGAGGAGCACTGGGCTGGGTTTGTTGTTGATGATGGTTTGGGCTTCGGCCCAAACGCAGTCTTTTTTTTCAAACTTGATCTTCAATTTGGTCTTTTGCTACGCTTTTCTCCACAAAATAAGATATCTGAGAATTTTGGGTTAGGAAAAATAAAATAAAAATAATAAAATATAAAAAATTGATTAAAAATCTACTATTTATGAAAGAAAAATAAAAGATTGTAAAAATAGAAATTAAAATAAAACTAAGCTAAACAACTAAAAATTAAACACTAAAAATATTAAAAATGCCTAAAAAAGAATAAAAAGAACCAACCCAAAAACGACTTATCAGAAGCTTAGGCCATTTCTTTGTTGTAGCTGAATCTAAATAAAAATTAAAGTATTGTTCGAAGCTGTTGAGGTAAAAGTTCTTCCCATCCAATATCAACGGGGCTCTGTAAAAATATGACAGATCGAGAACGTGCTTTCTCGATCGCCAAAGCTATCTCATTGGCATTCATATATAGCCGGATCCATCTACCTACCTCTTGCTTAAAGCTTTTGCCCGCACAGGTCATTAGTTGGATGGAACGTCTTTCAAATTGAGCATTGATGGTTTCTGATCCTTCATGGAAGGAAGAAACACGGGACGACATCGATGTTGGGTATATTTGTCAATAGGTCCACTAACGGTTTTAACCGTTAATTAATGGACGTGCGTTCTCTTAAATGAGATAAATGTTTTGATAATTTATACGCCAAAAATGGTAGAGGGTGAATGAGAAATTGATTCTCAAAGTTAACCCGTCAATAGAAGAATATGGTAAGGATTGCAATTTTTGCAATTTTACTAAACCAATCTTCTATTATTAATTTTACGTATTGTTTAAAATTAGTCCATTTTTACAGAGTCAACTGGCCATTAATCTCTAATTATTTGGGACAAATTTTAAACGGAGCGTAGCGTAACGGACATGTTAATGGCTAATTAATCACCATTAACACGGTATTAAGTGTGCCACAAATGCCATGGATTAATGGTGCATGAGTTACAATTTTTAAATGGCTTGGTTATAAAATCAAAGGCTCTCTCCATTCTCTTAGTAGTGTTTCATGCGTGAGAAAGGAATCAAAAAGAAAGGGAAAACTTTCTTGTTTAATTTTTAGAGAGAGCTCTTGATTTTCCGGCAAATTTTCCGGTCATCCACTTTAAAGTTTTTTGGTCGTCAACGTTCCTACGTGGTTGGTCCATACAATCTCCACACACGATAGCGGATTTATCCTGGGAGTAGGGGTGGACACGGTACCGGTACGGTACCGTCACCGGCAACGGTACCGCCGGTACCCGCCACCGTCACCAGAATGCTCCCCGTGTCACGGTTCCCAGGAACCGGTACCGGTACCGCCACTTTCGGTACTAGTTCCGGTACCTATTTTTTGGTACCGGTACCGGTACCGGTTTAATTTTTTTTTTTTTTTTTTGAAAATTGAAATGCAAAAAAGTTAAAAAAAAAGGTGGGGGGGCACACCTCAAACGGCTATNGGAGGGGGGGACCAAATTTTTTCTATAAATTCTCTCATTTTTTTCATAAAAAATCACTCAATTTCTCAATCCATCTCTCAATCCTCTCATTCTCTCAATTTATCAATCTCTCAATCTTATTATCTCTATTTAATTTTTATACATTTAATATTCATATAATAATATAAAAATTTTATACATTAAAATTTTGAAATTTTCAAAATTTTAATATATAAAATTTTGAATTTTTTTCAAATTTTGCAAAATTTTAAATATTATTAATTTTTAAATATATTCTTTAATCTTTAAATAATTTAAATATATTCTTTATTTTTTGAAATTTTCGAAATTTTAATATATAAAATTTCGAAATTTTTTAAATTTTTGCAAAACTAATATAATATTTTATTATCAAAAAAATATATATTAAAATGTCGAGGGAGTCTGGTAGACGGTCCGTGGATATGGGCGACGTCAACCGAAGATTGAGTAAAGGCAAAGCTAAAGCCACCTCCGACGGTTCGACCTCACGCAGACACGGTTCTCGAGGAAGACACTCCGTCTCTTCGTTTCCTACTGTCCCAGATCATTTAATCGGGGATGCTATGACGGATGAAGAATTCAACCAGATTTATTCTGGTAGAGGAGACGCGAATCTCCCCACTCTTGATAGTCTATTCGAGGATGTTGATGAAGCAGGACTGGATAATCTTGACGGGGACGATGAGCCTACACCGCAAAGCAACGACGTCGACCTTGAGGCAGGTGTGCCCGAGACCTCTCGAGGTCCGGACAAAGGTAAGAAAAAATATAAATCAGAATTATTTATTTATCATTTTGACAAAGACACAAAAGATGGCATAGTTTACGGAACAAGTAAACATTGCGGGACCGTCATAAAAATGGGAGTTTCCGGCGGTTATGGCGGTCCAGAAAAACACCTAAGGTCGAGGCATCCCGTGGAGTACGCCAAATACGAGGCCAAAAACAAGGGACGACAAGAAGTGCAAACCCAAATTTCTCGGTTTGCTAACAGAGGTAAGGGCGGCCTTTTTGCTTATAGCGACGAGCAAAATAGGCAAAAAATGGCCGAAATGATTTGTGAAGAAAATTTGCCATACATGTTTTCTGAAAAACTTGGTTTTATTGATTATTGTCAACAGACATTAAACCCTCAAGCACGAGGTTTTTCAAGAAAAACAATTAAACGAGAAATTGTTTGCCAGTATAAAATGGAAAAAATTAATTTGGCAAATTTTTTTCTCAATTTTAATTCTCGTGTTGCTATTTCTTCTGATATTTGGAGTGAAACTTATCATAATTTGTCTTATATGGGTGTTACTTGTCATTGGATAGATAGTGATTGGATTATGCATAAACGTGTTCTTGCATTTCGTGATTTCAATGATCAGCATACTGCTAAAAATATTTTCCTATTGCTTCAGAGTATTCTGCGGGAATATAACTTATCTGAAAAAGTTTTTTCATTTGGTTTTGATAATGCTACTAATAATACTGCTGCTATTCCTAGACTTAGAGAAATCTGCCCACCGTCTACGACTATGGGTAGATTTCTGCACCAACGGTGTGCCTGTCATGTTTTAAATTTATGTGTTCAACAGGGACTACAAGCTATGGGCGGAGTTTTGACAAATATTAAAGAAGGTATTAAAAAAATTTGGGGGGCTCGTCTTATTTCGAGATCCTGGAAGATGTTCTGTAAGTCTAAGGGTAAAAAAGAAATAAGTTTTGCCAGAGATATCAACATTAGATGGAATAGTACTTACAAATTGATTGCTCAAATCCTAAGATATAAAGAGGAACTTGCTGAATTTTTTAGGGATGAACTTCGTATAATCATTAATCCTTTTGAATTTGTTATTGTTGAAAAATTGAATGCCGTATTAGAAGTTTTTAATAACGCAACTCTTACTTTTTCTCATGTTTACCAACCAACTACAAATACATTTTTTAAAGAGTGCATTACAATCGCAACATGTTTTCGTGAAAGTATGGCTGATCCAGATTTGTACCCTTATGTCTCTCCTATGAGAGATAAATGGTGTACTTATTATTTGTACATTCCTGATATTTATAAAATAGGTATTATTTGCGATCCACGATTTAAGATTGAAAATTTTAAAATTCTAATTGAGTATTACTACAGTTGTTTTTTAGATAAAAATAGTTATTACTACAGCTATTTAGTAGAATGGAAAAATGAAAGAGATAATGCTATAACTCTTTTTGAGGATTTGTTTAAGGAATATCAAGGGTTATACGGTACTGTACAAGAAGAAACAGCACCACCTCCGCCCCCGAAATCAAAAAAAGGTTTTGCCGGCATAGTCGGTGG